TGACATTACATGATAAGAACCACTGATAAAAAATGTATTAAGTTCAAAATCTCATAGATATATAAGGATTGATTGAGGTTATGTATCCAACAGATCAGCAGCAGCCATGATGGGAAAAGTTTATAATTTATTTGAATGAGAATGGGCCTGATTATTTTGTTAGGATGATTTGTGAATTATTCCCATGTGTCTGTAGTGAGAGTTTATCATAAATAAACCAACAGCACTATTTTGACAGACTGGAGATAGACCTGTGAATTGCTACATCTAATTGGTGATAAATTGAGTGATGTCCCTTTAGGTGCATTGGACAACTATGTTCACCTCACCATACAAATCAACCAAGGAGCTCTCAAGAGCCATTTTCCAAGGCAACAATTCAACAAACTTGTGTTGCATATGAGATTTCACAACCAATGCCTAATATCCATGCTCATGAAATTACGTACAATTTACTACACTATTCATGAAAGTATGTGTCTGCTGTGCCTTAATTCTATGGAAACTGGATCACCAAGAGTGGTAGAGGATTGCCTTCTCAGATGAATTCTGGTTTGTGTTGTACTAAATGGATAGGTCGTAGATATCTAGCAAAATGCGTAGGTCAGTCAGTTGCACTACTGCTTAAATATGTTCTATCTAAGACTATTTGGATGACACTGTGTGGCAACACTTCAGATGTGTACCTTTATCGCGTGATGTAGCGGCTTCCCCGAGGCAAGTTACATTTTTCTGATAATCAGTTGCAAACATGTCTTGGCTGCAAATAGAGTCCAAATTGGAAATGCATGCAGTGATTCGTTTTTTGTGGGCAAAAAAGGTGCAACTGCGCTGAAATTTATGGGCATTTGCATGAAGATTATGGTGAAAATGCAGTGTTGCATCAAGCTATCGTGAAAAGGTGCAACATTCGCGATGGACGTACAGATATTGACGATGCTGAGTGCGAGGGAAGACCATCAACTGCAACAAATTTGAAAATCGTTGCTCGCGTGAATGAATGCATTCTTGCAAACAGACACATGACGATAGACGAATTCTCAAATGAACTGGATATTTCACATGGAAGTGTGCATAAAATTATTGCCAATCACCTTAAATTTTGTAAAGTTTGTGCTCGATGGATGCCATGTTTATTGACGAAGGAACATAAAGGAAAGTGTTTTGAAAGTGCATTTGAATTTCTGCAACATTACCAAATGGAAGGAAATAAGTTTTTGAACAAAATTGTGACTGGAGATGAAACTTGGATTCACCACTTCTCACTTGAAACAAAACGCAGCTCGCTCGAGTGGAAACATTGCAGTTCTCCGACACGATCAAAGTTCTAACTGTTCCATCTACAGGAAAGGTGATGATGACGCTGTTTTGCGACAGAGAAGGCGTTGTGCATACAGAGTTCATGGTGAAGGGTGCCACAATTAATGCATCTTCTTATTGTGAAACACTAAAACAATTGCGGAAATCACTTATAAATCGACGGCTGCGTAAACTGTCGAAAGGCATTGTGCTCCTGCATGACAATGCCAGACCGTATGCAGCAAAACAAATGTGCAAACTTCTGAAAACATTTAGGTGGAAATCACCCTCCTTATAGCCCAGACCTTTCACCTCCTGACTTCCATGTATTTGGTTCCATGAAACAAGAACTTTCATTCATTGAAACAAGAACATTTCAGGAAGCCGAAGTGAAAGCTGCAGCCCGCAATGATTATCGGATGTTGGACGGGATTTTTTTGCAGAAGGCTTAGAAAACTTGTACCATGCCTCTGCAGATGCTTAAATAACGGAGATAATTACATTGGAAAGTAGATTTTGAATGGAACTTTAAGATATAAGTAAAGCTATTCTAAAATTTTGCCCTTGTTTTGTTTTCTTAGGCAGTGCAACTAACTTTTTTACTGACCCTCGTATATAGTGTATCATTCAGAATTTCTAAATGACACTACCCAGAAATACAAATCAGCAGAATAACACAGGCTAGTGCTGCCAGTCAGGTGTTGACAATGTCCTAGGCAGGGGTGTTTTTCTGCCTTTTTTGGGGTTCTTTAATATTTATAAATGATACCATGAATTGGATATCTCTTTTATGCTTGGAAACTCTGCATATTGTACATGTTGAGGCTTTGTTTCATAAAGGTGATGGAACCTTCCAATACCATATTGCAACCTGCTGTATTACTACCATCATCAAGAAGTAGTTGGAGAAACATTACAAAACTTCCACATAATTTCTTGGCCTTCTGATTTCGCACACTTGAGAATCCATTGAGGATCTGAGGGATCACGTTAATGGACATGCTAGGCATATAGAATTGTGTGCATCCCATCTCAACTCTTGGATTCTTGACAGACTGTCCTCATATTCTTGTGTAAATCATTCAGCTCAAAATATTAGTCTTGTGGCATTTGTCTGCTGTTCATGTTACTGAAGAAGATTACTCTTGTAGTTAAATAAGTGACTCGACCTTATGTGTAATTAAATTTATACCTTATGTGAATGACTAGAAATGTAGATGATGCAGCACTGATAGACATGTCGTAACATCATGTAATTTGGAGAGTGATTACTGATGATGAATTTTTTTATATTACCTTTATAATATAGTTTTAGCAGCTTCTTATTATACATACGTAAAAGTATGTAAACCAACTTTATAGTTTAATTTAGAAATAGCCTCATAATTCCTCATTTTTAGTTTGCGTATTTCTTCTCTATTTTAAAGATAGTAATAATTTTTGTGGTCTGTAAACTATTCTGAATTAATCTATGTCACATAACTTGCATTATGCTGATGACATAGCTAATTCGGAACTTGAACTCAAAATTTTGGCAACTGAAACTTTTCTAACCTAAACCAAAACCTTCTCTTGTGTATGAGCAGACATTTTGTTGCTGAAAATACCTACTGGGATGTGTGATATGCATTGGGAGTACCAGTAGATTAGAAGATGTATTGGATATATTTCTCTGCCATCAAACCACCTCATACTACTAGCAGCAGGATCTGGTTGGGAAATGAGTTCGATTTAGCAGTATATGGGAGTTACAGGCATGCACTTTACAAACAGCAAGTTATCAAATGGAAGTATTGGGTTTTCATCCGCAGAGAACTCGTTGGCACCGTTGCATTTTTACTCGCCAAGCTCGTGGTTCATCGATGATGAGCCGAGCCGTAAACGTGATTTTTAGTGCATGTAAATTCAAGTTAGCAGACAAAACAATATATTAAGCATATGGTAGTAAAAATTCACAAGATAATAAGCATGTAGATGTAAAACTAACCACGGATGTAAACGTGATATACGAAAATAAATTTGTATTAAATTCAAGTTAGCACAGAAAAGAATATATAAGCATTTATAATGGAAATAAAAATTCATTTAAAAAACATAAATTAGTATTAAATACTGAAATTAACTGGTTAAATGTGATATACGAAAAAAAATTGTCTTAAATTACAGTTAACTCAGAAAACAATATATTCCTTACACCAGCAGTAGTTTGCTAATTTTGATGACTATGGCGATGCATCAAACTATTCTGTCATCTTATATAATCAGTAATGTTTTCTGTTTCAATTTAATCATCTATTTATGTCACACCTGCCATCCTCTGAAAGGTTATTGTTAGAAAAGCATTAACAATATATTATCTTGTTAAAATTTTATGCCGTAAAAATTGATTTATTCTCATAATTTTAGATGACAATAATAAAAATATTATTAAGATGACATTTATTAGATAATTAATTATATTATTAATAATAATTATTTAGATGACAATAATAAAAATATTATAAAAAAGTATTACTTAATTATTTAAAATGCACATGCACATTTTTGCGGCCTACGAAAACAAATTATTTAGAGGTTGGAAACCTCATGGTTTCTGTTCATGGTTCTTAGAGCTGTTAATAATTAAGAACACAACGTGAACAGCCGTGTTACAAATTAGCATCCATCCCTCCCGCCATATTTTCTTCCTTTCATCCGGAACCGAGAACCGGCATCTATCTACGAAAATATTTCTATCTATTTGTTGTTAAAAAAATCAGAAAAAATAATAATAAATAAGAGAAGAATAATATAAATCTGCAAATGCAAACAACGACAGTGATATTTCAACAAAATTTGAACGCAAGAGGAATAGTTGCAAACTTCGAACAAGCGAATAGGATAAATACTCTGGGTTTTACCAGGTTTGAACTATTTATCAGGTTTTACCAAAGGTTTGAACTATTTTTACAGGTTTGAACTATTGTTCAAAGTTGGCGATGTTTACATTTACTGGGTTCTCTGCGGAAGTGCTTCCGAAGTATTCACTGTGTCTTTGCCAAAATGAATGCTGACAAATGCAGAAACAGGTTTTCATCACTGAAGATATGCCTATATTCGTCCATAATTTTCAGCTGCTGCATCATTCCAGACATAGCTTTTTTCAAGAAGTGAAGTCAGACATATTAATGAATGGAATGCCTGCAGTTTTACCTTCCTAAACTGTTTGCCTTTGGTTCCAAAAGAAAAAAATTAAGTGGGCTCACCTGCTTTCATTAGTTTCGATAAGACCTTTTTGAAACCATTCAAAGTGTTCAGAATTGCCATAGAGGTATCGTTAGTTATAATGATAATTTACTTTGAATGATAAACAAAAGTATTTCCACTTACTAATGATTTTTTTTAGTAATTATCTCATAGCAACTTTATAAGTCTGAGGAATCTTACCTCATTTGCTGGAATTCAAATATATAGCATTTGATAACCTGCTGTGGAGTAATTTGTATGGTGAGTTTCATTCTGTAGACTGTAACTCCCCCATTTCTTTCTTTTTTTTCTTTTTTTTTTTTTCTTTTTTTTTTTAATGGGGGAGGTCTCAGAGTGCAATACTGATAGTGAATTTAATGCAGACTTGCAGAAGCCTTTACATGTATTTATTTTTAATTCTGTATTATTACATATTGAATTTTGAGTATTAATATTCATGAATTTCATTTTCATAGCTGTGCCTTATCTATCCAGACGTTCTTAAAAATTAACAGAGTTGATCTTGCTCAGTAAGTTTTAGTTATATTTTATTTTCGAATCATTTTTTCCCTTGTAATGTGCACAAGAATATTACCTTGTTATGTAACAAATATGCAAATTATTTCACCTTTTTAGCACTAACTTTATCTTAGTATTACAAACTGATAAACATACAGTCAACTCCCACTCAGTTAGCCCCTTATAAAAAACATTTGTTGATTGCAGTGTGATGGAAAAATTTACTGTGATCTATAACCCATATGTGTCAAACAAAGCTATCTATTGAAAATACAAAAAGGAAAATTTCACAAGATGACAGTAGCAATTTTAGATAATGTCATAGTAATTGTGTACTATTTTTATCTACAAGCAGTATATAATTAATTCTGTAATATAGAATTTATAAATATTGTTAAATCATCTGTTTTAAGTGGGGTTACTTTGTTGGTAAAAAAGTTTTTGATAAGCTGGAAGCTGTTATAGCCTGTTAAAATTTGCAGAAACTGACAAAAAATTTAGTACAGTGTACTTATTACCACAGTTGCTTAAAAGTAATACTTCCTTTCCCCATTTCATATTTTTGTTGTAAAATTTGAAATTGTCTTATAATCAGATATTTTAGTAAATAAAATTGCAGAATGAGAGGACGAAGTTTAATTATCATACTGTATAGAATAATTATAGTAGTTGAATGCAAGCAGGTAATAAGCATAAGTATAATAAGTAATTCATATAATGCAAGCTTTACTTCACCAGCATGCGAAAGAACCAAAACAAAATTTAACAGAATGTGTTTTCAGTTGCCACTCTCATGATAAATTGTCAACAGTGCATAGCAGAAGCTAGCAAATTTAAAGGTGTTTAGATATCATAAATAAAAAGGAAAATTTTCCAGTTAATAGAATTTTTAAAGAAATAGCGAGACTTAGTAATAAACGAAGATATAACAGAAGTTTTTCATTGTGGTGACAATGCCTCAATCATCAATCAACTACCAGAGGTGAATCTGCAATATGGTTCTAAATCCAGAAAATATCGCTGCTGATAGTGACAGAGAGGTTTCTGAGAATGAAAAATTATCGATTGATAATTTCACTGGAATTCTCAACACAGTAATTACAGGTTTTGAACAATAAAGCTTTGTAACTGAAGAAAAAATTTTGTCTATCTATAGAATTAAAGAGAAAGTATTAGCAAAAAAAAAAAAAAAAAAAAAAAAAAAAAAAAAAAAAAAAAAAGAAGCAAATTAAACAACTTACATTGAAAGAAATGTTTAATAAAGCAAACAAATATTCAGTTTTTTAAAAATGAATTTTGATTCACTTAGGTCATAAATACTTCATTATTTCATAAATCACAATTTCATATTTTTAATTTTGTCATTAATTTCTACATGTCGTCTTACTAGATTTATACTGATGGTCTAGTATTCAGAAAAATCCTAAATCCGGAATTGATGAAGTCCCAAAGAGTCCAGATCTTAGACTTACTGTATCAGTTTTGTCTAATTTTCGTAAGCGGTAGTTCAAATCATTGCGATTAACTGTAATATCGACAAGAAATGCAAAGTCTCTTAACTATTTCTCATCACTGAACTCGTGAATGCATTTCTCTTTAGATTCCGTGAATTGTTGAACTTCGCTCTTCAAAGAAAACAAGCTCTGAAGCATCTTTTCTTGGCTCAACCAATGTACTTCTGTGTTATACATTACGGCACCATATTCAGCTTCCAAATTACTTCAGAAATATTGAAATTGCCTGTGTTTAAGTCCTTTAGACAGAAGGAAATTAACCTCTTTTACAACAGAGATAAGAATCTACCCTTTTTATGGAATTGAGATTTTATGCATAGTTAAAATTTTAACTTTTAAAATTACATAAGTAGTTTTTGAAAAACTCATTATTTTTCGAAAATTTTATCTCAAATAATATCAGGCATGTCAATAAAATGTTTTAAATATCAAGAATAAGAGAAAATTAATTTTTGTCATGACAAAAATCCGACAATGCAATTTTTCTTGAAATCAAATTTTTTTTTTTTAATTCTTCAATTTTTCTTCAAATTGAAATGGGAGGGGCACTAAAATGCTTTCAGTGGGCCACTGGTTGAAGACCCCTACCTTAAGGCATAGCTTTTTCAAGCAAAATCAGCTCATTTTTCTTATACATATTTCTATAATGAAGTCTTATTTAATATTTCAGCTTCTGCATGTTGTTTAAAGAAAACAATTAAAAAGGAAAATTTCAAAATTCCTTTTTACACAGTGATGATATTGACCACAGACACTTCTGGATTTGAAGGGATATTCTCCAACTTTTCATTTCTTCACAACAAATAGAAATTAAAGAAAAAAGTAGGGTGGAGGGATGTAAAATAAATTGATCTGCTATAAATTATTTCGGGAAAAAGATCCGGTTGATTTTGAAGTTTGCAGTATTTAACCTTTAACTATTGTTATGTGACTTTTAATAGATATTCTAAATAATGTAACTATTTTTTTTTTTTTTTTTTTTTTTTAAATTTTCAAATAAATTCACTTTTGCTGCTTAAAGTACTTTGATAAATTTTAAGTTACTTGGTAAGTTTTTGATAGTTACTACATTAGAGTCCCGCACACTCGACATAATGTGAACTGAGAGACTGTTGAGTTTTATGAAATAAGGGGTGGGTTTTTCTTAACTCTTTAATATTTAACTGTAAATTACTCTAGACATTTATAGCACAATATTGGACATGGAAAAGCACAGCATACAATTAAATTAATGTTGATTTTTTTATGTCAAGTTCTAGCACAATTGAAGTCATAAAAAGAACAAATATCTCAAGATTATTGAGTAAAAAAACTTACATACAAAAATGAAGAAAAATTATTAGTAGTTCTTGGCAGAAAAATATTGCGTGATGGTAGATTATCTCTCACGCTCATTCTGTCATGGTCCTGTAGGCGACGGAGGAACAAAATGTCCATACCAGATGCTCCCTTCTCCTCCATGTAATGGAGCATTCCTTCAGCAGCCGTCAGTCCTTTAGTATGAGTTATCATTTTAGATTTTCCATTGTTTCTTTGTTTTCTGACTCATCTTCATTTTTATTCACGTTGTCTTTCATTAGTGCAATTACTTCTTCATGTCCTAAAATTTCACAATTTTCATCTTGTCCCATCCATTCTTCAACATCATCATCAGTAACTTCAGTAACTTCTTCGCAGCTTGGAATTTTCTTAATTAAGTCAACTATTTCACAATTTTCTGTCTTATCTCTGTTTTCATGAAATTCATTTCCTGAATGGTCAAGTCAACTATTTCACAATTTTCTATCTCTTCTCTGTTTTCATGAAATTCATTTCCTGAATGGTCCAGCGAATTTCTTCAGGAACGAATGAGGCTTATCTGCTCGATTTCACACCAAGAATTAGCTCTCCATGCAAGAACATCCAACATATCTATTTTCTTTAGTTTCCCAATCATATCACATCCTTCCTGCATGGCTAGGACAAGAGATGAAAGAAGTTTACGGGTGTATTTTATCTTGTATACCTCCAAAACCCCTTGGTCCATCGATTGACACAATGAAGTTACGTTATAAAGGAGAAACATGGCTCTTATACCTTCATCTCATAACTGTTCTGCATCAGGATGGGATGAGGCATTGTATTGAATGAGAATCCCCTTCCTTGGTAGACTTTTTGATTAAAAAACTTTTCCACCAATGGAACAAACTGTGATGAAACCGATCATTAAATATTGCTCCATTCATCCATGTGTGTGACTGATTATGGTACTAAACAGGAAGATCATAGTTGGTTTCGGTTTTATTAGTGTATCTTTTTACGTTTTTAAACATCCAGGGATTTTTTTTTTTTTGATTTGCCTATAAGCATTAGTTTGAGCTTATGGTTGCCTGTTGCATTACTGCATGCCAAGATTGTGACTCTCTCATCATTTTCCAATAAAATAAAAAAAATAGTAATCAGTCATCTAGGTTCTAGGCTAATAATTTAATATCTTTGCCAAAGTGTCAAATCTTTGCCAAATAGTTGTTGATTAGTATAATTCAATTTTTAAGTAAGTTATGTTTTTTAATATTATTCGTACCATTTAATATGGCTTCTTCCCTCTAAATTTATTTATTACTAGTTAATAATACTTCCAAATTTCAGACAGTTTTCTTTGGAAAATCCTGATACTAATTCTAGCAGTATGATGACATACTGATACAAAATTTAATGCACATGTTTTTTGCTTATGTATGCTGCTAAATAAATATAAAATAGCTGAATTTATTTTAAAATGTCAAAAAACTAGATTTCTTTCGTGTAGCTGCAAAATGTCTGCAAAAAAAGACAATTTTTAATTCATATTGGGCAGATTCTAATCAGTCTTAAGTGGAAAAAAACAACTCTGTTATAGTTATAATAGTAATGCTTTGGGGATTATATATATGTCATAATAAGAGCACAAAGGAAAAAAGACGGAACACTGTAGATGTAGTTATCCTATATTGAAGAGGAAATAATCTGATTGCATCGTAAGCTAATGTGTTGACTTCGTAAAAAACTTGGCAGTAGAAGCGATTTTTTAATTCCATTTTTATTTCCAATTGATATTTGTGGCCACAATCACCTTGGCACTCTAGTTCGTGCCTATTCAAGAACATTACATTTTTGATATAATTGAGAAGGAAAGCAAGCCAGCGAAATTACATCTTAGCAGAGTAGAGGGCAAAAGCTGAAGTGCGTCGTTATGAAAGATGGAAGCACGCGAAGAGAAAAGTTTTGGTTTACAATTCGGTGATTGGTTGTTAAGAGGCATCTGGTATTAACGGTTACGTAAGATCGCATGATTAATCTGAATGACGCAATGCAGATAAGTTATTACGATTTTAGAATAGAGAGGAAGAATTAATGTTTATAGTTATATTATAATTCTGATTCCTACATTTTTATCTTACATATTTCCCCCCTTTAAAAAGAAAAAGGCGTAGCGACAGAGAAGCCTTTTTAAAGAGAAAGAGTTAAAGCACTAGCAA